GTGTAAACTTTGCATTCTAAATTCAACACTAATGAATAGCTCATTGATTTCCTTTATGGCTGCAAAGAGAGCTGCCCTGTTTTGCCTGTCTATGGCCCATTAAAGCTCTTAAACACTTGATAAATGGAGAACGGTTCAGGCACTGTCACGGATGCCCATTGGAGGTCCTCAACGGGCACCAGGACGCTCTGAGGGAGAGCACTTTTTTATCCCAATACATTTTGAATTCAAAATGTGCACTAACTTTTCATTTGTAATTGTACTCAGTTTTGTGTAAGCACCACTAAGCTTTACTGTAACCCGGCATGTATCTACAGTGTCAGGCAGCATCTCAGCACCTCTGGTTTAACCTCATTAGCTCATTAACATTAATGAGATAGATTTATTATGCAACACGGATGCACAGCTGCTTCTCTCAGAGCTTCATCTCCTCTTTCAGAGCTCCATAAAGGAGAACTTTTGGCAGTTAAAATATTTTTAGGACATGTCCTTACTGGAATCATTCTGAATTTAGTCATAATAATGAATTTATTCATTGAGCACACAACCTTCATGTCTCTTCATTTAGACAGGGTCATGTGTAAAAGTCACTTCACAATGTCTTACTATCTCCCCAAGAGCAAATAGCAACATCATGCTCCAGCCATTTCTCACATTATTTTATGAAGCCAATTTCTAAAGCAGTAAGATATCCCAAAGATATTCACACGGCTGCAATTATGAGGTGTTAAGGAGACCAATTGCACAGGGTTGCCATGGAAACACCAGTGGCACACGCAAGAGTGTGCAATTTTACGCTCTTCTTTTTTCCTCTTTGTGTGTGTGTGTGTGTGTGTTTGAAGCTATTTTTAACAAGCATTATATAAGAACTCTGTGTCACAAGCAGCATGTATCTCCTCTCGCTCTATTGTCTCTGTTCTTCAGGTGTGCCTGACCTACGACTAACACATGGTTGAATTAAGCAGTTCACTCATGGAAATTAGTTTGTATGAGCATTGAGAATAATAATAAATGTGGTTGGTTGAAGAATATCACGTGTCCAGATCTCTGGTTGATGCAAATAAACTTGCATGTGTAACACAGCCCATTCTCAGGAAACAGCGCCATTTATGCCTAAAAATGTCAGGAATTTTTTTATATCTTTATTCTATTCTATTCATTTTGAAAAGATAATTGTTGTACTTTTAAGAAATTGTAATTTTCTTCCTTTTGACAAAATTTTCATTATTGAACTATTCCTTTAAAGAGTATAAATGTGACAACAATACTATTAAACAGAAAGTGATGGACAATTTCTGCATTTTCAGAGAACAAAAATTACATTGAAAACATAATCAAAAGCAAAATGTAAGTGGTATTCAATATTTTTAATGGTATAATAGTGATAAATGTTATGCCATATGTCACGTCATGTCAAATTAGTGGGAATTACAATTAAATACTTTTATTTAATTTATAAAATAAATGTATTTTACATTACACAAACAAAGATCAATCTATAAAAAGTTTCAGTATCTTTTTTTTTTTTTTTACTTGATTACAAAATCAGCTGTACATTAAGTGAACACACACGTGAAATGAGTGACATCATTATAAGAATAAACCTGGGAAAGATAGTCAAATATATTAACCTGCCATGTTTCATTCCCAAGTTTACCTGCAGTAGCCATATGTTCTTTTACAACCACTCTTGATCTAACCAGTCACAGCGCACATTAAATGAAATTTCATATTGCTGTCAGATAACTGCTGTAATCATCCTCTTCATGTTGAGAAACCATTTTACCTCTTTAAATGGTCTATTATGAACTGAGCAGCAGCTGTTGTAAGAGGTAACAGTGTGACAGTGCAGAACAGATGCTTTTGTATATTCAGAGAAGTTCTGCTCACTGTAAAAATTAATTAGCATCGCTAATTATGTGTGACAGGAGGGTCAGAGTGCCCATTGATGTCAGAAATGACCCTGCTGGTGTACTCTTCTATTAGCATGACTTTCTAAAGAAAATCCCTATTAACTCCTAACGTATATACAGTTTGAAACCAGTAACAGTAAGGCAAAGCAAGGTATAAAACTTTTTTTCTGTTTTCTTACATGCAGTTTGTTCTCTTAAATCATGCAAACATCCATCTTGCTTGGATTACATAAGAGTCCTATTATGCTCTAAAATTATGCAAAAAGCTTCAACACAAGAGCTGTAAACACATAGTACACTTGCAAAACATGTACAACATTTTTTGACATCTACCATGCTAATATTGTATATTAATCTGGTAAACAGTCATATAGTATTATATGTATTGTAAAAAATTCTATACAAATAAATACATAATTTATTTACAGTATTATCTGATACCATCACTGTACCGTGGTACTGCCACAGTGCTTTTTTATGGGTAATAAATTGTAGTTCCTCAGGCAGACACTCAACACTCTTTTTCTGTGTACCATAGAGATCATAAGTTGCAGTCTATCTATAATGCATTATTCATGCATGTGGGGGAGTTGGTGTTGTTTAATGTCTTTGGAAGAAGATAAATAGGCAGAGAACAAAATGAATAAGCAGTGACTTCACTGCACACAGAATATTTCTCACTCTTCAGAAGGCATGGACAAAGAATAAAATTAGGATGTTCACATCTTAAAAGGGAAGTGCATGAGTGAGAACAGAAATACATTTTCCCATGTGTTTCCAAATTTATCATTCTAAAATGTTGAATTTTGCGTTTTCTAACTGAGGACTTTTTTTTTTCAGAAAGCGGCATTGTAAAAGTACTAGTACCCATATGTAAATGTAATTAATATATGTACATATGTTAGTCTATCTATAATGCATTATTCATGCATGTGGGGGAGTTGGTGTTGTTTAATGTCTTTGGAAGAAGATAAATAGGCAGAGAACAAAATGAATAAGCAGTGACTTCACTGCACACAGAATATTTCTCACTCTTCAGAAGGCATGGACAAAGAATAAAATTAGGATGTTCACATCTTAAAACGGAAGTGCATGAGTGAGAACAGAAATACATTTTCCCATGTGTTTCCAAATTTATCATTCTAAAATGTTGAAAATATTACGTTGTAATATTATTATTGTATTATAATATTAATATTACGTTTTCTAACTGAGGACTTTTTTTTTTCAGAAAGCGGCATTGTAAAAGTACTAGTACCCATATGTAAATGTAATTAATATATGTACATATGTTTAATTTTCAGGTATGAAATATATTGCCATATGAAGTAAAAACATATATGAAAGCTATTAGAAATTGGAACAATATCCCATACAAATATGTATGTTTTTGTATGTGTGATGCATTTTTGGACATGAATACATTTTTGAACATTAATGTCATGTATATGTATATCCATCCATAAATATAAAAGGCAGACATTGTCAGGGCCCCGTGCGGACCCCGGTGCAGGTTATTGTTGTGGGCCCTGGTTGATCGTGTTCCATTGATTTCTGTACTCTATAACTCCATTTCTTCACAGCACTTCCTCTTTGACCTAGATAACTTATGATATGAGCTGTGTTGTTTCAAATATAACTGCTTTCCAGACCTTGGGAGAGTCTGAGAGAGTCATAGAAAAGAAGTTCAATTTTGAAAATCTTTGTTCAATGATGAATATGCATAATAACGTGAATATGCATAATAAGAAAAATGAACTGTGTATATGTCCAATAAACTTTGTAGATTCTGAACACAGCCTTGTGTGTTCTTCCCATCATCATGCATTCTTTGGTGAGGGAGAACTGCTGGCAACTGAAGGACAGTTATCTGTTTAATCTAACAAACATGTTAAAAAAAAAAATACATAAACATATTATAAACATTAATTTTTGTATATGTTGTTTTAATAAAGTTGCATTTATAAATGAAATATTGTTATATATGGATGTTACATATAATAGCATATAAAAATCATTATATAGATATTATTGATATATGTACACAGGGCCTAAAACTAACTTTTTGCCACACCTGCCAATGGCCGGTGACATGATAAAATTTACCAGCCAAAAATTTTTTTTACCGGCCATGAAACTCTTTTTGCAAAAAT